TCTAGTATGATGAGCTCCTAACTTTCCTCTTTCTACTCAAACATTATCAAAATATCTCCCTCCCTGCTTTCCCCCAAAAATATCAAAATATGAAACAGAGTGTATTTCCATTATTTGCCTTTTTAGAAATTGATATTCTAGAATTTTTGTTGTTGTTAGTTTTCACTTGGAAAATCTTGTATGATGAGCTCTTAACCTTCCTCTTTTTACTCCAAAAGTTTCAAAAATTTCCCCTGACAGGTTTTCCAAAAAATATATCAAAACCAGTGGATTTGCATTATTTGACTTTTTAGAAGTTGATTTTCTAGAATTTCTTCTGATGTTGATTTTCATTAAGATCACTTTAAAATCTAGTATGATGAGCTCCTAACTTTCCTCTTTCTACTCAAACGTTATCAAAATATCTCCCTCCCTGCTTTCCCCCAAAAATATCAAAATATGAAACAGAGTGTATTTCCATTATTTGCCTTTTTTGAAATTGATATTCTAGAATTTTTGTTGTTGTTAGTTTTCACTTGGAAAATCTTGTATGATGAGCTCTTAACCTTCCTCTTTTTACTCCAAAAGTTTCAAAAATTTCCCCTGACAGGTTTTCCAAAAAATATATCAAAACAGTGGATTTGCATTATTTGACTTTTTAGAAGTTGATGATTTTCTAGAATTTTTTCTGATGTTGGTTTTCACTAAGATCACTGTAAAATCTAGTATGATGAGCTCCTAACTTTCCTCTTTCTACTCAAACATTATCAAAATATCTCCCTCCCTGCTTTCCCCCAAAAATATCAAAATATGAAACAGAGTGTATTTCCATTATTTGCCTTTTTAGAAATTGATATTCTAGAATTTTTGTTGTTGTTAGTTTTCACTTGGAAAATCTTGTATGATGAGCTCTCAACCTTCCTCTTTTTACTCCAAAAGTTTCAAAAATTTCCCCTGACAGGTTTTCCAAAAAATATATCAAAACAGAGGATTTTCATTATTTGACTTTTCAGAAATTGATTTTCGAGTTGATTTCCTAGAATTTCTTCTGATGTTGGTTTTCACTAAGATCACTGTAAAATCTAGTATGATGAGCTCCTAACTTTCCTCTTTCTACTCAAACATTATCAAAATATCTCCCTCCCTGCTTTCTTCGAAAAATATCAAAATATGAAGCAGCATTATTTGATTATTTAGAAGTTGATTTTCTAGAATTTCTTTTGTTGTTGGTTTCCACCGAATCACTTTGAAAATCTAGTATGATGAACTCCTAACCTTCCTTTTCTTACTCAAAAATTATCAAGATATCTGCTTTCCTGGTTTCTCTCAAAAATATCAAAATATAACACAGTGTATTTTCGTTATTTCACTTTTTAAGTTAATTTTCTAGAATTTCTTTTGTTGTTGTTTTTCACTGGATAAATTTGAAAATCTAGTATGATGAGCTCCTAACCTTCCTCTTTTTACTCAAAAATTATCAAAATATCTGCCTTGCTGGTTTTCTTAAAAAATATCAAAATATGAAACAGTGTATTTCCATTATTTGCCTTTTTAGAAATAGATATTCTAGAATTTTTGTTGTTGTTAGTTTTCGCTTGGAAAATCTTGTATGATGAGCTCTTAACCTTCCTCTTTTTACTCCAAAAGTTTCAAAAATTTCCCCTGACAGGTTTTCCAAAAAATATATCAAAACAGTGGATTTGCATTATTTGACTTTTTAGAAGTTGATGATTTTCTAGAATTTTTTCTGATGTTGGTTTTCACTAAGATCACTGTAAAATCTAGTATGATAAGCTCCTAACTTTCCTCTTTCTACTCAAACGTTATCAAAATATCTCCCTCCCTGCTTTCCCCCAAAAATATCAAAATATGAAACAGAGTGTATTTCCATTATTTGCCTTTTTAGAAATTGATATTCTAGAATTTTTGTTGTTGTTAGTTTTCGCTTGGAAAATCTAGTATGATGAGCTTCTAACCTTCCTCTTTTTACTCCAAAAGTTTCAAAAATTTCCCCTGACAGGTTTTCCAAAAAATATATCAAAACAGTGGATTTGCATTATTTGACTTTTTAGAAGTTGATGATTTTCTAGAATTTTTTCTGATGTTGGTTTTCACTAAGATCACTGTAAAATCTAGTATGATGAGCTCCTAACTTTCCTCTTTCTACTCAAACATTATCAAAATATCTCCCTCCCTGCTTTCTTCGAAAAATATCAAAATATGAAGCAGCATTATTTGATTATTTAGAAGTTGATTTTCTAGAATTTCTTTTGTTGTTGGTTTCCACCGAATCACTTTGAAAATCTAGTATGATGAGCTCCTAACCTTCCTTTTCTCACTCAAAAATTATCAAGATATCTGCTTTCCTGGTTTCTTTCAAAAATATCAAAATATAACACAGTGTATTTTCGTTATTTCACTTTTTAGAAGTTAATTTTCTAGAATTTCTTTTGTTGTTGTTTTTCACTGGATAAATTTGAAAATCGAGTATGATGAGCTCCTAACCTTTCTCTTTTTACTTAAAAATTATCAAAATATCTCCCTTCTTGGTTTTCTTAAAAATATCAAAATATGAAACAGTGTATTTCCATTACCTACATAACAGTGAGAGAACATTCATATTCTCAGAATATTCCCTCAAAGTGCTTTTTGGAATGTTCTTTCAGGAATGTTTAATGAATATTCCAAGATTGTTTCGATTGAAATATTCATTTTTGAACGTCCTATTTATGTACTAGGAATGTTGGTTCTATGCACTTACCTGAAAGATTGTGCTAAGAACCTACTTTATATAACAATCTTTGAATATTTTCATACGAACATTATTATAATGTACCCTAAAAAATGTTCTTTTGGCTAATATCTCTATCAAGTATTAAGAATATACCTACCAAGTTGTGCTGAGAAGTTTATGTAGGTAGGTAACCATGATAAGAATATTTTCATATTGTTCACCTAATTATCTGAAGTAGGTACCTACTCAAAAATCATAATTTAACAATTAAACAATAATGCTCTATCTAGAACCTACTAAGCATATTATAGGTATATTCTTTTCCTTTTGCTTTGTAGGACTTCCAAGAGAGGGAGCCACGCGCTATTAAAGATCTACATCTTACCTCGCGTTGGAAACACCTTGGAACTTGTTTCTCTCAGTTGGTGACGAGAGCATAACAAGCTCGAAACCGGAGCTTCGGTTAAATACTTGTGTTTTCCAGAGAAGTTTTCCAACAACTCTTTCACTGCCTTTAATATAAAAGGGCTGGAAGGATCATTATTTGGAAGCGAAAATTAACATTCCAAGTATATCCTTAGAATCAACCAAGAATGTTATGTCTAGGATGCTTATTGAGAATGATATATGTAGATATATTCTAAGAATATTTCAAGCATTTTGGTATAATATTCTTTTGAGAACATAACTATAATGTCATAGAAACATTCTTTGAATGTGAGAATACCTATACATATCGAGCATATTTTTAGAATCAAACAAGAATATTCTTTTTAGGATGTATTGAGAATCTCATAGGTATATTCTAGGAATATCCTAATGGATTTCTCAGGAAGTTCTTGGGTATTGCAAACAGTATTTCTACAATCTTTTCTCAGAACATTCTCAGGACACTCGCAATGGTTTTGGCGAACATACTAGGCACATTCCTCCTAAAAAAAGAACTTTCTTAATACATTCTAAGGATGCAATTTTGTTATGTGGGTATTTGCCTTTTTAGAAATTGATATTCTAGAATTTTTGTTGTTGTTAATTTTCACTTGGAAAATCTAGTATGATGAGCTCCTAACCTTCCACTTTTTACTTCAAAAGTTTCAAAAATTTCCCCTGACAGGTTTTCAACAAAAAATATCAAAACAGTCGATTTTCATTATTTGACTTTTTAGAAGTTGATTTTTTAGAATTTCTTCTGATATTGGTTTTCACTAAGATCACTTTAAAATCTAGTATGATGAGCTCCTAACCTTCATCTTCTTACTCAAAAATTATCAAGATATCTGCTTTCCTGGTTTCTCCAAAAAATATCAAAATATAACACAGTGTATTTTCGTTATTTGACTTTTTAGAAGTTGATTTTCTAGAATTTCTTTTGTTGTTGGTTTTCACTGCATAAATTTGAAAATCCAGTATGATGAGCCCCTAACTTTTTTTTTTTTACTCAAAAATTATCAAAATATCTCCCTCCTTGGTTTGTTTCAAAAATATCAAAATATAAAACAGTGTATTTTCATTATCTGACTATCCAAAAGTTGATTTTCAATAATCTCTTTTGTTGTTAATTTCCACTGAATCACTTCGAAAATCTAGTATGATGAGCTCATCCTAACATTCCCCCTTTTTCACTTCAAAAGTTTTAAAATTTTCAAAAGCCTGAAATAGACAAGAAATTCAACAAGAAAAATATAAAAATAAAGAGAGGAGGAAATTTATTAAAAATTAATAGAAAATAATATAACACATAATTCTTTTTCTACGACAAGATTTTGAATTTTTCTAAGTAAAAATTCAAGAGCCAGGAACAGAAAAAAAATATGGGTATATAAACAAAAATTGATACCTAAAGAACTTTTCTTGCTTATCAATTTTAAATCAGTCTATAAAATATGGGATGTAGAACAAAAAAAAGAAACCGAGAGCCTGGAATAGAAAAATAATGAATGAGAATCAATGAAAACCTTTCAAAGCTTAAGATCCATACAGCCTTATTAAATAGAAACAAAACAATTAAGGATTTAAAGATCCCATATGAGAGTCTTCTTTTAGAAAATACTAAAAATCCTTTGCAAAATATTGACTCAAGATTCACAATCCTGACAGTACCTATCAAGAAATTATGAAAATTATTATGTCATTTTAACTCTAGGTGGTCCATTCTTCTGACCTATAGAAAATGCCGTTAATAGAGCAGAACTGTTACCGTTTTAAATTTGCATCAAGGTTACGGTGATGCCCATTAACGTGTGTGCATATAAAGGATGCAATAATAATTAGGCTACAGTTTTAAACAAAAATATTTTTATTTCAAGTTAACATCCACAATAATATTTGTTTCCGTTTTTCTTTAGCTTCCTCTGGGGGTAGTTCTTCTAAAAGACAATGCAAATATTCGACAAATGCTCTATTAGATCCGGCAAAATTGTTTTGAGATTCTTCCATATTATTGGTGTTGTTAGTTTCTGTTATTGTTTCGATTTTCATTATTTTTGGTTCTTGAGGTGAGTCAGATTTATTATTTTCTGTTAATTTGATTTTTCTTATTACTAAAAAAAAATATTTTTTTAATTAGTAAATTTATTTGTTGTTTGTTTAATTATTTACTGACGTATTTTAGTATTTGGTGGGATTATTTTGCTGTTGTCACTACTATTTGCGTCAGAAGAATCTTGCTGAGAAAAGGCAGTTAGCTTTTTATCTGTTGTTGCATCAGTTCGACATATTTTGAATTTGAACCTAAATAAGATTTTTTTTTTTAATGTTAAAAATTCACTATAGTGAATTCAATAAATTACTTGCGTGGTTTGGTGAATTTAGCATAAAAAGACATTTTATCATAAAAACACCATCTTGAAGGGGCATTTTCCGGGTTTTTTACCCTTCTTTCCCGCGTATATCGATCTCTCACTGATTTCCATAATTTTTGACAATCTTCACCTAAAAATGTCTTAGTATATCTTGCATTTAACTAGTCAAAAAAATACTTACTCGAAATCCCTATAACACTAGCAATTTCAGCCCAAGCCTGATCTTTCCTCGATTGAAATTTATAATCAGAATGACTCAAATCATATAGAAGCGGATAATTTTTAATCAACTCTATCAACAGACTGCGTGGATCGTCGTCCGTCAATTCAACTTCCATACCAACATCATCGTTTGTAGTCATTTCAACTCCAAAAATAACACGACAAACTTAAACAACAACGCGAAAGGCAAACAGAAAATGGCTACTGCATGATGCGTCCGATTAAAGCTAAAGGAAAGGCAAGTTTAGTCAGGCCACGTGATTCTTATAAAGAGATTCGATTGGGTTTGAGCTTGAAACGAACGACGCAAACCGAGCGAATATTTTACGAGAGGAGCGCAAATACGGACAAATTTGTCGAGGAACTGAACTTGAACTACAACCGAAGGTTCATTTTCGCTTGGCATACAAATTCGTGTTTCTTTGTAATGAATTAATGAATAGGTACGAGGGGAGATAACTAAATTGGATTTTTTTTTACAATATTCAAATATAAGTAGATATACAGGGTATTTAGTTGAAATACATGGGGATTTGGAAACTATTGAAGCTACAGGGTAGACCAAATGGGGAAAAAGATAATATATCTTCAACTTTTCTGAATTTGAAATGGTACCGAAAAGAAAGACTTTTATAAAATGCACATTTGCTTTGTTTGCCCTGTATATTTGTTGATGACAGATTATTTGTAGGCACTTTATTGAACTTTTTTCCCATTATTGGTCCATTCTGTATCTTTAAATGGTTTCCACAATCCCCATGTAAGTACCTACTTCAAGTTATTTCGAACACCTTGTATTTGTATAAGGTCTGTTCCAACCAACCCTTCAAAAAACGCCCAACAATTTCGATACCCCTACAGGTATACACATTTTAGATTCAACGCATAAATTTAGGGTTTTTCGCAGAATTGTAAAGGTAAATTGTCCCTTTCAACTCTTATCAACTACTATCCCTTGCTTCTTTTTCTTCCGACATGGTCTCACAAAATCGCACATAACTCAATTGATATTCTAGAAATTCTGATGCATACTATTTATACATTCTTGATCAGAATTAAATTCTCTCTAAGATAAAACAAAATTGAATCATTTATCTCAAATAGTTTCCAAGAGATTGAACCTCAAAGTTGACATTTTGTCTCAAATTATGGAAAACCTTCAAATCCAATTATTAAAGTTTGCTAGTGATGTTATCGTGTAACGAATCCATATTTTCATTTGCATTTTTCATTGTTTCCACAGTTTTTTAATGATATTTTGCAACATTTTTATATTCAATTTTGTTTAAATTCCGTATCTCTCTAATAGAAAGCGACACCGTCCAGTAATGGCGTTTGCGATTGGAAGATTTGATGCGCACTCTAAGTATAGCTGCATCCATAGATTATAGGGACGTAGCCAAGAAGGTTGACCCCCCAAGGCTTCAGAGAAAAATAGGAAAATAATGAAATAGGAAAAAATCTATAAACTGCTCATATCATAAAAAGCTTAAAGTATAGTGGGTCTGGTGTATATTTCTATAATTTTTTCTGTATGGCCCCCCTCAGACAAAATGTCTGGCTGCGTTATGTCGGGAAATTTTTACATAAAATTTTAGTATGTTGAAGCTAAAAGCTTCCTTAATAAATGAAAAAATATCTGATTCCTCCAGGTTTCCCAGATTTCCAGAAAAAAAATCCAAAATTAAACCATTGACCCTAAGGCAGAAACATCACTAAATGTGTATTGGATTTTAAAAATCATAGCTCCGTTATTTTGGGCTATTTTTCCATAAAATTTCAGTATGTTGAAGCTGAAAGCTTCCTTAATAAATAAAAAAATATCTGGTTTGTCCAGGTTTCCCAGATTTCCAGAAAAAAACTCAAAAATTAGATCATTGACTCTAAGGCAGAAATACTATTCAGTGTGTTTATCGGATTGTAAAAATTATAGCTCCGTTCTCTTGGGCTATTTTTCCATAAAATTTTATTATGTTGAAGCTGAAAGCTTTTTTAATAAATAAAAATAATTTGGTTCCTCCAAGTTTCCCAGATTTCCAGAAAAAAATATCAAAAACTAGACCTTTGACTCTAAGGCAGAAATATCACTCAGTGTGTTTATCGGATTGTAAAAATCATAGCTCCGTTATCCTGAACTATTTTTCCATATAATTTTAGTACATTGAAGCTAAGAGCTTCCCTAATAAATGAAAAAATACTAGGTTCCTTCAGGTTTCCCAGATTTCCAGAAAAAAATCAAAAATTAGACTATTGACTCTAGGGCAGAAATATCACTCAGTGCGTTTATCCGATTGTAATAATCATAGCTTCGTTATCCTGGGTTATTTATCAATACAATTTCAGTATGTTGAAGCTAAAAGCTTCCTCAACAAATAAAAAAATATCTGATTCCTCCCGGTTTCCCGGATTTCCATAAAAAAAATCAAGAATTAGACCATTGACTCTAAGGCAGAAATATCACTCAGTGCGTTTATCCGATTGTAAAAATCATAGCTTCGTTATCCTGGGTTATTTTTCAATAATATTTTAGTATGTTGAAGCTTCAAGCTTCTTCAACAAATAAAAAAATATCTGATTCCTCCAGGTTTCCGGATTTCCATAAAAAAAATCAAAAATTAGACCATTGACTCTAAGGCAGAGATATCACTCAGTGCGTTTATCCGATTGTAAAAATCATAGCTTCGTTATCCTGGGTTATTTTTCAATAATATTTTAGTATGTTGAAGCTTAAAGCTTATTCAACAAATAAAAAAATATCTGATTCCTCCAGGTTTCTCGGATTTTCATAAAAAAAATCAAAAATTAGACCATGGACTCTAAGGCAAAAATATTACTCAAAGCGTTTATCTGATTGTAAAAATTATAGCTTCGTTATCCTGGGTAATTTTTCAATAAAATTTCAGTATATTGAAGCTAAAAGCTTTCTCAATAAATAAAAAAATATCTGATTCCTCCAGGTTTCCCGGATTTCCATAAAAAAAATCAAAAATTAGACCATTGACTCTAAGGCAGAAATATCACTCAGTGCGTTTATCCGATTGTAAAAATCATAGCTTCGTTATCCTGGGTTATTTTCCAATAAAATTTCAGTATGTTGAAGCTAAAAGCTTCCTTAATAAATAAAAAAATATCTGGTTTCTCCAAGTTTCCCAGATTTCCAGAAAAAAATTAAAAATTAGATCATTGACTTTAAGGTAGAAATATCACTCAGTGCGTTTATCGGATTGTAAAAATCATAGCTCCGTTATCCTGGGTTATTTTTTCATAAAATTTTAGTGTGTTGAAGCTAAAAGCTTCCTTAATAAATAAAAAAATATCTGGTTCTTCCAGGTTTCCTAGATTTCCAGAAAAAAAATCAAAAATTACACCATTGCTGGGTCGTAGCCAGGGGGGGGGCAGCAAGCGGATCGGAAGTAGACAAAATCTGTAAGCTGCTCATATCATAAAAATCTCAAAGGACAGTGGATCTGTGTATATTTCTATATAATGGCCGAGTTTGTTGTCATTTTTTTCGTCGATTTGCTTCGAAATTTTGACAGGCACGTGACTGGATAAGACAGTTTCAGTTTACAAATCACGTGCCTGTCAAAATTTCGGAGCAAATCGACGAAAAAGATGACAAAAACGAACTCGGCCAATATAAACCCCTCAGACAAAATGTGTGGCGGCGCCACTGTCTGCATCTCTTTCTTTCAGTTTGTTAAAGACACAGATAGAAATACATTTTCTTTGATTCTTTGCACTAATTTATCCAAACCGAAAACGCCATTACACTTCTTCTTAATAGATGACAGAAGCTGTCAAATGTAAAACAGTCAAAATTTTCGTCATATAATTTTTTTCCGCGAATCAAATCCAAATCCAAAATGATAATTTACTTGGGAGCTTTAATTTTCGCCACGGCCTCGATGGTGGTGGCTTTTATTTTGGTGACTCAGGGTAATTTCCACAATTTCACCGAAAAAGCTCCGAAAATTACGGAATTGCCTATTATAACTGCTTCAGGGGAAATCGTCAATTCTGTTGAAGATTTGGACATGCAACTGGATTTTTTGGAGAATCAATTGGAAGAGAAAGAGGTAATTATAATTGATATTAACTTGCATTAAAGACAATAACAATAATTATCCCATGAAAGAATAACGCTTTCATTTAATTGTTAATAGAAATTATAGCATCATGTAATTTGTAGAAAGATCTCGAAGCAACAAAATCCCGTCAAGAATGCGCAGCTAAAAAATTGGAAAAATTAAGCGACACTGCAACTCATGTAAAGAAGTTTTACATCAAACTAAAAACTGAAGCTACAAAATCTGAAACAGAGGTTCAATCAAAATGATTGTTTTGCTGCAACTTTTATAATTCTTCATTTTAGATTAACGAATTGAGAAGCCAAATTGATGATTTCAAAAAAAGACAATTACGCCTCAAGGAAGAAGTTAATGAAAATGTTAAATACTACACTGGCATGTTGAATAATATCGATGCAACTGACGAATATGAAGTTGTTAAGAAATCAGCAATAATTGGTAAATATTTTGTATGCGTATGCAACCTGGAAAAGCTAGATATTTTTATTTTAGAGGAAGAGCAACAATAATTTTTATTGTGAAACGATTCTATTGAAGAAGATGTTATGAAAAATAAGAATAAAAATGTGAATAAAAATTTATAAAACTCAAAAATAAAGTGTAAAAATACACTCAGTAACTTTGTTTCATTAGAGCCATTGAGAGATTATTGAAGAAATATATAATATAAATTACTGACAATAAATACCTTGACAATGTAGATTGTTTATCTTCATGTTTATGTGCATGTCCGTTCATGTAAGCTCTAGCTGTTCCGTTTGAACCTGCAAACAAAGAAGTTTTCGTCATTAAAAATTCTAGCATATTCTATGGGCATTGTGTCCAAATAGTATTTTATCTATAGTGCCAGTCATTTATACTATACCAGGCGAAGTGTTTACAATGTACCAGTTCAGTTACACATTTACACGTACAAGTCCTGCCGCTCTTGCGGTAATTGTATTCAAATACCTACATTTTCGATCTTGGGCGTGCTAGAATGCCATTCGGTATAAAGGTTTTTTTAGTCTAAAGACATGTCGTCATTTGACAAGAACTTTTCATCACGTTGGGAATTTATTTATAGCAGGAAATCTAACTGCAAGTCTTCATTAGAAATGCAATTAGACTATAAACCTCATCTGAAAGTCAATTATTTTAATAAGTTTACGTAATAACTAGGAGAAGTTAATCTAGGTCTTATAAGTTTTTCAACTAACGGGGGTTTATGTCGCATCGTGATAAAATGTCTTAGTTAGTTGATGGATAAGGAGGACAAATTATTGTTTCACTTATATGAACGTGCCCGCTGGAACTAGTAGAAACTTAAGTTTTTGGCAGACAAGCCAAAAATATCATTACAAATTTTTCATTTAATTTCCTGCAACGTGTATTACGAAAATCTTATTCCTGCATCACAGAGTGGTGGAAATGAGATTTTAAAAAAGGTGGAAAATATGATTATTTTTCCTGCTGAAGCGTGAAATTTAAATAGGATACTTGCACGTTTTTATATTACATATATCAAAATCTTGAAAATAAATTTTAAAAAACCAGATTAACAAAAATGCACCCCTTCATATTTTGATAGTTATTCGAAAAGCTGTTGATGGGAAAATTTTGAAACTTTTTGAGTAAAAAGAGGAGGAACAGGAGCTCATCATACTGAAATTTCAACATAATTCGATGAAAAATGGCAACATGAGAAAATCTTGAATATCAACTTGAAACAAGCAAATTAGGAAAAATGCACCCTTTCACATTTTGAAGGTTTTTCAAAGAACTGTTGATGAGAAAATGTTGAAGAAACAAGAAACTCGTTAGAACGTGTTAGAAATTCATTGGAACTTATTAGAAATTCGTTAAATTGATAAGAAACTGTGTAAGAACTTTTTAGAAAATGCTTAGAACATAATAGTAACTAGTTTTTTTGAAATTTGTTGAATCTTATTAGAAACATGAATATAAGTTAGTGGAGGTTGATTTTTTCGAATTTGGATGGTTTATTGTATTAGAAACTGGTTAGAACTTATTAAAAACTCGTTGGAACATTATAAGAAACTCATTGGAACGTGAAAAAAAAAGTATTAGCAACTCGTTTGAAAATTTCGTTTCAGCAAGTTTCAATAACTTGGAAACGAGTTTTTCCTCATTTTGAATTTTTTTGAAACGTTCCAAAAGTCGTTGGAATTGATTATAAACTCGTTGAAACTGTCAAAAAATTCATTCCAACAGATTAGAAACTCGTTAGAACTTGTTAGAAATTCATTGGACCGGACCTTATTAAAAATTTGTTGGATTGATTAGAAATTGTGTTAGAACTTTTTAGAAATTCGTTAGAACGTATTAGAAACTCGTTGAATCTTATTAGAAACATGGAAATAAGTAAGGGGACGTAGATTTTTTTCGAATTTGGGCGGTTTATCGTAATAGAAACTAGTTAAAAAACGAGTATTGAAACGTTTCAAAAAAATTAAAAATTAAAAAAAAATTCGTTCCAAAGTCGAAATTTTTGAGCTTGAAACATCAAATTTTTTGCGACTTGAACGGTTCTTTTTCACGTTTCTACTAGTTTTCGCTTTTTTCCATCGAGTTTTTAAAACGTTTCAACGAGTTTCTAATACGTTATAACAAGTTTCTAGTAAGTTCCAACGAATTTTTGATACGATAAATCGGCCAAATTCAAAAAAATCAACATTCCCTAGCTTATTTTCACGTTTTTAATATGTTTCAACGAAGTTCTAATCAGTTCTAACTAGTTTTGAAACGGTTCAAAAAAAAATAAAAATTAAGAAAAACTCGTTTAAAAGGTTTTTCCGATGTTTCAACGAGTATTGAGACGTTTCAAAAAAAAAGCAAAATCAACAAAATCTCGTTCCAAGGTTGCTGAAACGAAATTTTTGAACTGTTTCAATGAGCTTGAAACACCAATTTTTTTTTTTGCAGCTTGAACGGTTCTTTTTCACGTTTCTACCAGTTTTCCTTTGATTCTAACGATTTTTTAAAACGTTTTAACGAGTTCCTAATACGTTCTAACGAGTTCCTAATGCGTTCTAACAAGTTTCTAGTACGTTCCAATGAGTCTCTAATACGTTCTAACGAGTTTCTAATACGTTTTAACGAGTTTCTGATAAGTTCCAATGAGTTTCTGATACGATAAATCGTCCATATTCGAAAAAATTAACATTCCCTAACTTATTTCCATGTTTTCAATAAGTTCTAGCAAAGTTCTAATCAAGTGCAACAAGTTTTGAAACGTTTCGAAAAAAAAAAAATCAAAATTAAGAAAAACTCGTTTAAAATATTTTTGCGATGTTCCAACAAGTATTGAAACCTTTCAAAAAAATTCAAAATTAAAAAAAGCTCGCTCCATAGTCGAAACTCGTTGAAACGAAATTTTTGAATTGTTCCAACGAGCTTGAATCATTAAACTTTTTTGCAACCTGAACGGACCTTTTTCACGTTTCTACCAGTTTTCGTTTTATTCCAACGAGTTTTTAAAACTTTCCAACGAGTTTCTAATACGTTCTAACAAGTTTCTGATACGATAAATCGTCCACATTCGAAAAAATCAACGTTTCCTAACTTATTTCCATGTTTTTAATAGGTTCCAATGAAGTTCTAATTAATTCCAACGAGTTATGAAATGTTTCAAAAAAAATCAAAATTATAAAAACTAGTTCCTAAAACATTGAAACGTGTTTTTAATAAGATCTAACGAGTTTCTATATGTTCCAATAAGTTTCTAATCTGTTATAACGAGTTTCTAATGCGTTCTTAAGAGTTTCTAATAGTTTTTAATACTTTTTAACGAGTTTCTAATATGTTTCAACGAGTTTCTGATACGATAAATCGTCCAAATTCGAGAAAATCAATGTTGTTCCATAAGTTCCAACAAAATTTCAACGGAAAAACTCGTTTCAAAGCTGATGAAACTCGTTGAAACTGATTAGAACTGCGTTGAATCCTATTAAAAACATAGAAATAAGTTAGGGAACGTTGATTGTTTTGTATCGTATCAGAATCTCATCAGAAACTCGTTAAAATGTATTAGAAACTATTAGGAACTCGTTAGAATGTATTAGAAATTCGTAAGAATGGATTAGAATCTCATTGGAACATGTTAGAAATACGTTGAAACGTTTTTAAAAATCGTCGATAAAACGAAAACTGGAGGAAACGTAAAAAGGAACTGTTCAAGTTTCAAAAAATCTGATGTTTCAAGCTCGTTGAAACCATTCAAAAATTTCGTTTCAACAACTTTTGAACGAGTTTTTATTGATTTTGAAACGTTTCAATACTCGTTGGAACATCGAAAAAGTCTTTTAAATGAGTTTTTCTTAATTTTGATTTTTTTTTTGAAACGTTTCAAAGCTCGTTGGAACTGATTAAAACTTCGTTGAAACTTATTAAAAACATGGACATAAGTTAGGGAACGTTGATTTTTTCGAATTTAGACGATTTATCGTATCAAAAACCCGTTGGAACTTATCAGAAACTCGTTAGAACGTATTAGAAATTCTTAAGAAGGGATTAGAAACTCATTGGAATGTGTTAGAAACTCATTAGATCGTATTAGAAACACGTTGGAACGTTTAAAAAATCGTTGGAGTAAAACGAAAACTGGTAGAAATTAAAAAAAAAAAACGATCAAGTTGCAAACAAATTTGATGTTTCAAACTAGTTAAAACCGTTAAAAAAATTTTTTTTTAACTTTCAAAAACTCGTTGGTATTGATTAGAATTACGTTGAAACTTATTAAAAACATGGAAATAAGTTAGGGAGCATTGATTTTTTCGAATTTGGACGATTTAGCGTATCAGAAACTCGTTGGAACTTATCAGAAACTTGTTGAAACGTATTAGAAAATTTCATAAACTCGTAAGAATGTATTAGAAATTCGATAGAACAGATTAAAAACTCATTGGAACGTGTTAGAAACTCGTTAGATCGTATTACAAACTCGTTGGAACGTTTTAAAAAATCATTGGAATAAAACGAAAACTGGTAGAAACGTAAAAAACCATTCAAGTTGTAAAAAAAATTTGATGTTTCAAGCTCGTTGAAACAGTTCAAAAATTTTGTTTCAACAAGTTTGAAAAGAGTTTTTGTTGATTTTGAAATTTTTTGAAACGTTTCAATACTCGTTGGAACATCGAAAAAATCTTTTAAACGAGTTTGATTTTATTTTGGAAACGTTTCAAAACTCTTTGGACGATATATCTTATTTAGAAACTGGTTGGAACTTATCAGAAACTTGTTAGAATGTATTAGAAACACGTTATAACGGATTAGAAACTTATCGGAACGTGTTAGAAACTTGTTGAATGGTTTTAGAAATTCGTTCGAGCGTTTTAGAAAATCGTTGAAATTAAACGAAAACTGGTAGAAACGTGAAAAAAAAAACCGTACAAAAAAATTTAATGTTTCAGGGTCGTTGGAACAGTTCAAAAATTACGTTTCAACGAGTTTTAACAACTTTGCAACGAGTGTTTGTTACTTTTAAATTTTTTCGAAACGTTTCAAAACTCGTTGAAATTGATTAGAATTTCGTTGGAACTTATTAAAAACATGGAAATGAGTTAAAGAACGTTGATTTTTTTTGAATTTGGCCGATTTATCGTA